TGTAAATGGCACAGACTACTAACCGAGATAACACGATACCAGTCTTCCCACGATTTTTAACAGTCGTTCATTTTAGCGGTCAAACATCCTTATTTTCTGTTTCTTTGTTCGATAGGTTTTCATCCATTTCTTCTTCGTCTAACAAATCTTGATCTGTTATTTCCACATCTAGATCATCCACATCATCCACATCATTGTCATCCTTGTTGTCCTCGTCCTCCTCGTCGTCATCGTCATCATCATCGTCGTCATCATCGTCATCATCATCGTCATCCTCATCATCGTCATCATCGTTATGGTTCACAAAGTCATGGAGTTCATCAAATGGGAGTTTATCAACATCCTCTTTTTCGTCTTCCTGTTCGTCCTCTTCTTCTAAATCACTGCTTTCCCACCACTTTTTCTGTTTCTTTTTGTACGGGGTCTGCCCGAGAACATTCCCTCTGAAAAATTGAAATCAGAAGATGTTACATCCGAAGTTTTGGATGATTCATGTGTTCCTGATTAGACTGCTTCTTTGAGGTTCCCAACATGTCATATAGACTGATCACAGTGCCACCTTTCAAACTATTTAGTCTGGTGCGAAGGGGGATGTTCAGTTTACACAGCCCTCTTCAGAAAAACCCATGCCCACCTAAAAATATGAACCTCAAGTACAAGAGCAGAATATATCGCTCCCATAAACTTGCCACACAACGCCATAATGGACCACCTTTTAGGAGTTCAAGACAAACCTGAGGCGATATTCTTGGGACAAGTAGTCAATTAGGGATAACTACTGATGGTTGGTTTTTCTGTACGTCACTACCTCGCCAGTAGCAAAACTTTGAAAAAGTCCGGCAAATTTGTTCTTTATCGGGAAGTAGTTGTGTAAGGCTGCAACCATATTTCATAATAGCCGTGAATAACCTGTCTGCAAACACATTACGCATTCCTTTGAGAAAATAATCGTAGATATATTTGTATGGTAAATTCGGAAACAAACCCATGAAAATGAGAGATATCACTATGTTCCGTATAATTCTGTCGCTTGTACGCTGGGTCATATGTGTTTGAGTGTCCACAATCTCCATATTGTTTGACCTCTCCCAAAAAAAGTGTCAGAAAACGTGTTTCTCCAGAAAACCTGATGAACTCTTTTAAATGCTCTGCTAGAGACTAGATGTAGGCGCACAGATCTGATTCATCTGCATACCAATTTGATTTTTACGGATGACTCGCCTGGAACCCAGCAGAATCTCGTTCAAGATGTTTCTAAGCTTAAAAATGAGTGTAGCTGAATAATTACGTGTACTTTGGGTTCAAGTAGAACATAAGTTGACGGAAACTCGGGGACTCTGCCTGCCTTTTCACCCCCCAAGAAGTGCGAAACAGGTCTTGGACTGTCGAAGAATTTTCACCAACCTTATAAGTAGCGTATTACGTCTGGACCAGTCTTCTCGTAGAACAAAATTAAAATTAAAAGAAAAGAATCTTTTTTGATTCTATACTACTGTTCTATGGAATCATCCCTTTGAACGTCAGTAGCGCTAAATGTCAAACTTCCGGATACTCTTCAAAATCGAACTACGGAATATCCCCAGCGTACCCTGCAGGCTTTTGAAAGTCCCAAGACAGTGAGAAGGGTACAGTCGACTTCCCCACGGTTGCTATATCCTCCGGATGCTCCAGGATTTCAATCATTTTTGCACTGTAAGTCAAGTTTAATGACAAAGAAACACGCGGAAAGACTGTTTGTGTTTAATTGGCAGTGGGTGTTTCAGCCTATTTTAAAGGTATTTACAGCGGCTTCACAAATAGCCACTATTTCCTTAGGTATTTTAAAGAGGAATGAACCACCTGAACCGTCGATCCATGAAAGAATCAACAGACTGTGGAACCTGCAAGCGAGCAGGATTCTGAACGAACGATTACCAAGATATGCTACACCGAAGCCACATTCGGTGAAGCAAATAGCAGTCGTAGAATTTCATACGGCAGCTTAGGGGTTCCCTTAAAATAAATTTCTATTCAACAGTGCCACTAATTCTATAAGAGTCAGGCCATCATTTTTAACTTAATTCTTTATCTCAACCAGGACAGTGCAAGTCACTCGCAGCGATTAGGCCCTACAATCCAAATGACACATGCAAAACGGCGCTGCAAATTTGATGTGGCTTTAGTGTGGCCGGCCCAAAATCTGACCGACCATGATTACTCGTCTGAAATCATGTGAGATTATTCAACTCTGCCTCTTTGATAACAACTCACAATACTGAATCAACTACATCATGATATGGTTGCTGTACTGCTGCTGACTTTGTACTATTTGAATTAATAATATACAGTGACAAACGCCAAAATGAATAGCATTAGTATTAGGGGAACCAGCTCCGAAAGTGACTGGATTACACAACTGCCAATGGAATAACCGTCTTCGTTGAAACAGATTCAATTGGTTGTTCTTCACTTACCCTCGATAGATGAGTTCTGTTTTTCCTTTTTGCCCCACCTTTATAAACAGCCCGTTTTTGGCTGCACATGACACGCCTGGACGCGTCAGTGTTCAACAGATCAGCTGATTCGCACGCTCATTGGCTTTTCTGGTTTGGCTGAGCGTGCCAGGCTATCAAGCGGCTATCCAGATTCGGGTTCACGGTATTCAGAAGGCATTAAGAAAAATGTGGTCCACAACAATTAGCGAGAGTTCATGTTAATGGTGAACTGTTTTGCCTAACGTTGACTTTAGAGGTTTTCCTCTTTTTACCTGTCCAAAATTTGAGGGCGCGTTGATGATACTAATGATAACCGTGGCGTTTTTTCTGCAGCACTCTCCTAAAGTAACTGATAAAGTGCTACCTTTTTTGCAGAGTAGTCTACCTTGAAGATGTCCTTTTAAGACGCGGATAAATGTATTTTCAGAACATTGTTAAACCAAGTAATCCGAAACACTCAGCTATGAATTTGTTTCGTATCTTTACTTTGACATTAAAGATTCCTAAAATTATAGATGCTAGAAGCACAGGTTTGAACAGGTACATTCAAAACTTTAATGTTGAATTAAAATCCAGAAGTTTTTATTCTAAAGTGACCTAATTCCTCAAATTGTTGTAGTGCGAGGCAAGGTCATTTGATGTCTTACTGTTTCTTGAATTTGCTTCACTACTCTTGTAGGTAAATTATCCTTTGACATATCCTATTACTCAGTGTCTCTTGTGCTCCATTCTTTTCAATACCTAATTAATTTGTAATGGCGAAATATTAGCAAATCAAACCGGATAACCACTGGACTTACTCGAGGTAAAACTTGCACACTGTAAGGTAGCCACCATAGACCTCATTTTCCCGACAGAAGTGTGTGTAGCAACCAACCCGATCCGAATTCGCCCAGACAAGCTGAAAGTAATGTTAAAAGTAGCGTAGTTGGCAATTTTTGACTTCTCTTTACCCCTGTACCTAAGGGTGTGAAAGGCGTGGTTTCAGGAAATTTCGTGAACAACTGAAGGATTTATTGCGTGGAGAAATTTTTCTTGTGATGCAAAAGCCTCCACAGGTTAAGTGAGCAAGTGAGTAGTTTGACCTAGGTTTAAGATAGTCAACGACAGTGTGTGGCACCCCTCTCAACTGGATGGCTAAATAGATGTTAAATGATGGCTAAAAATCCCTTGTCAACAGTACGGGTGACTGAGTCTTGCCAACAGCTTATAAGAGACAAAAATTAGGATCATTATCAGCGAGATTTGGGGGCTTCGTCTGGATGTTCGGAGCAACCAGTCGATGATTCTACTTGATACACAAATGTAGAGGTATACTGTAGTTAATGTGAATTCGAATATAGATAATCAGCGGATTCGGGTGCCTTTTGGCTTCATACTTCAGTTCCGAAGAAATTCTGTTAATGAGTCCCGTTTATGATAACCACGCGTCAAATCGTGCGGGCTGAAACCTGTTTCCACATGCTTATCCATTTTCACACTAGATACAGTGGGGTAGGTTTCTGTCACCCCTACCGTCAGACTGAATCGTAACACCTCACTCCCATTTTCCGAACCTATTTAGTGTCCCTTCCGTAATCTATGTCTCGCTAATACTGCGTCTTTTGGCTTGAATTTTCCGGCAATCGCTCCCACATAAGCCTTATGAAAATCGTTGACTTGAACCTTGTACACAGTAAATAAATCAATAAATTTACCAGCTATAAACCGTGTGCTATAGACACGCTGGGTCCAGCTTCTAAAGTTTCGATCGCCGGAAAACGAGAAAGTGGAAAATACAACCTTCGCCTTGAAGGCGAAGGCATGTTCAGTTTGTTCGGAAATTGGGTACCTGCGCACTGAAGACGATAGAAATGATGTACGAGAACCACTGAGTGCGCAACTGGGCCGTTTCCGCCCACTGGTGATTTGAGTCCCGGGATCCCCATTCAGGATGCGCCAGTTGCTCACCCGACTAAATTTACTGATTAGTGAATCCACCTATTAGCAAACTAATTTGGTTTTTCGAGAGACTCACCTGGAACCCAGCTGAATCTCTCGTTTCTGATGTTTCCAGGCAACTGAATGTGCTGCACCAGGCCACCTCATGTTTCAGTCGCTACGATATTCGAGATAGCCCGATACGTGTATATTTGTGATGCACTAATCATAACATCACAAACGAGAGATTCAGCTGGATTCCAGGTGGGTTTCTCGAAATAACCAAATAAGTTTGCGAATAAGTGCATTTCGCTAAGTTCGTGCAATTCGGTTTCAAGTAGAACATAGGGATGGCGGAAACTCGAGGATTGCGCCTACCTGATGATTCCCAAGAAGGGCGAAACCGGTCGTGGCCTGTTGAAGATTTTTCAGCGACCTTATGAGCAGTGCATCACGAAGTTACTGATTTGTGTTTTCGTACTTGATTTCCAGGTCATATATCATCCACCGCTCGGTCTCTTCTACTCAGCACAGGGCCTACAAAAAATAGCTCTGCGGGTCAGACGGTCTTCTGGCATGCGGAGTAGATGTCCTCACGTAATTCATCTATCGCGAGAGAGTCGCTTCATCCAAAGACGATCGAGCGTACCTCAGCATTGCCAATACGATGTTCCAACAAAACCTTATTGCTAGTACGATGCTCCCACCAAAACTGACCAATGCTTCAAAGACACCGATGGTCAAACACTGACATCTTCTGTATGTCCTCTACATGCAGAAGCCACGCCTCCGATCCATGACGCACTATGGATTGCCAACTATGTGTGCCAACCTATTAATTGCTCCGAGTGGCCTTGGATAGATCACAAGAACGTCGAGCAGAATTCATCGAATTCATCCCCATTTCTAGTGATATCTGTAGGTGTCCCACGGCAAATCCAAAAAGTAGACCCCTCCAGCTAGTTCGGATCCACGTGTTCCATCAGTCGACAGAAAGCGGCCCAATAACTGTACTCCTGCAAACAAGCAAACAAGTCTGCTTCAAGTGTACTTACTGTTACCGTTTTTCTACAAATTACCTGTGCGTGTTCGTTCATTTTCTGAGTATAAGGATTTTTTTAGAAATTATCTGGATGAAACTGCCTACGGAAAACGAGTGAGTGCATGAAGCTTTTGCCACTCCATAGGATGAGGAGGTGTTGGTGCCAGACTACGGCCCTTCATGGATGTTACTGTCATCGAAGTTCACATATGATGAGTTTTAATTTGGGGCACGCTGAGTTGGGAAGACTTCCAAGCCAGAAATCCAAATACACGAACGAAAAGGCACGTTTAGCGATAGACTCAAAGCGCCGACATCCTAATTTTTAGAAGTATTTCAAGATAGATTTACCGCTAGAATTTTGCCATAGACACGTATTTGAGCACCTGAAAACTTCCAGCTAAGGGATTATCGAAAATGAGATTCTCATAGCCATTGTGAAATGAGTGTATTTTTAAATTTTCATGGTTCTCACATTGCCCAAACGAAGTTCTCTCCTGCTAATCTGACTCAGAGGCATGTTTACAGAGCAAAGGAGCCTCCTCACTTTAGCTTTGCATATACTGCCAGTTGTTGGTTGTGGAGATACTCTCGATTATATTGATTTGTGATTCTTGACGACGTACATCAGGGTTGAGTAATATGGGTCAGCAATTTTTCAGCTCAACAGGCACATCGACGCAGCGCTAACAATAAATTTCATCCAAATTCTTCCCACTGATATCTTACGGCAACCTAAGAGCAAGGCGTCCCATGATTTGTTCACGAAGTTCACCGATAGGTCACGCAAAATTCGTGTTGCTTACGAAGCGGCTGATTAAGCCTTGGCTGTTCATGAAAAAATGACTCGCCGATTAGATCACTCCTCTCTTGCGGAAATTCTCTAAGCAAATTAATGTGGAAAGTAAGGCTTTTGTCGCTTCAGAGCTTTTCGCGGGAAGGCGTCTCTTCGTAAGCGACAACCGAGTTAACAATGTATTCTGGAACGTCGGCCGTCATGGATAATACCTATTACAAGTGCATACTTCCGGTTCTTCGAAAAGGCAACATTTGAATGCATTTGAATACTTGCCTTTTATTTTTACCGACTTGTGGACTCTGATCGCATTTTTCGTGGACCTTTATGAACTGACCTTGTACATGCTATTACGTACTGACCCCTTGAGAGGATGTCACCTTTTCGCTCCTGAATTTCTAAAGCACTGAGAAGTGCGGTCAATCAGATGGGGAGTCATGACCATTATTCATGGCCAATCACACAACTCTCTGATTTTGCATGACGAGGCCGCTGGCCATAATAGTGATGTTTTGCCATATACATTTATATCCACAGCACGGGCATTGCAGAAGTAGTCTTGGGCTAGAAATCAAATGCAAGACGTAATAACGATCCGGCAAACTGGTTTACAACTCAGAACGTGTACAATTTGCAACATGTGGTTACGGTCTAAAGCCTGAATGTAAACAAAACTGTAGTGTCAATTACATGGTGCTACTGATGACAGCCTGGAGAGTTGAAAATATACATTTAGACAAGCACTCAGACGAAGACCTCAACACTAGAAATGGTACTCTGCTTTTCTTCTTTATACAAGAGCATGCGATAAAATATGGCGTGTTTGGAGAACTTTAGGGCTCCAGACGTAACACATTGCTCATGAGGCTGCTGAAAATTCTTCGGCAGCCCTTGGGAGTAGCATGTCACATCCAAACAATGTGTTGTCATGTCTCGAACGTCGTACCAACTGGAGCATGAAAGGTCTGGCAGCACAATCAGTTGATGTGAGCCACCACGAACGGGGGAGATTCAGGTGGACTGAGTTGGGTCCCGTGTAAACAGCGAAATTTGTATTCAAATGAGAGTAGTTGTGGGAGTAGTCGTTCCGAAAAGAAAACTAATCGTCCTTTAGCAAGCAACCTGGGATGTTTGGGTGCAGGGACACAGCATTTGTGTTCGGCCAAACTAAGGAACGACCGTCTTACGACGGAGTACCGACAGTTCATTCGTTGTTGCCTGACTTTTATACTTACTCCTATTTGTATATACTGAACTACTGTTCCCCTCTTTTTGACCGCTGCAGATAATTAACATTGACATGATCTAAACAGTCAAAAGAGACGTACAAAAGACATCCTGTGGATGAAACTGAAATCAGGTAAAAATAACTATTCCAAAGGCACCTATTATTCTAACAGTTACTACTTTCTGATTAGGAGAGTAGGCTGTCCTCAGGGTCTCTGGTGAGGGTCATTTCGAACACAGAGGAAATGAAACCTCTAAAAGCACAATCTCGTCCTTTTGTGCCAACAAATCACACTTATATTGGCCTGAGTGGGTTACTGACCTCAGTAGTTAGTCAGAACTACGGTAGTCTCACTGTAATGACCAATATTTCTCTTATGGAATCTCCGGTTGAACGTAATTACACCACCTTGGAGCTGAGTGAAATGAAAAAACTATCGTACAAGAAACATTGTCTGGTGTAAAAGGAATGCTTCTAACATGAGATATGGGGCTAATCAAGAAGAGCCATATAACAGCATGTAGTCCAGAATAAAGTTCACCTTTGATGAGAGAATAGAAACAAGGGCTTAATTATAAGATTTCAGTGCGAAACGAGGTCTGATAGCCTAAATTACATATAAAATTCTTTTGTCACCATCCACAGTAAGCTTGGCGTGATATGTGTGTCCGTGAACGAAAAATGTCCTGCAGTCACCGATATAGAAATACTGATTCACCGCCAGCATCAGAGAGATTCGGCAGCAAAAACGAAATCTTGAACTGGCAAGGAGAGCAAATATTCAAAGAGTTTGCAAAATTTCACAACCTAAAAAAAGTGTTCCTCTGTTTTAGGCCAGGCCAAAACTTTTATCAGGTCGCCTGGCCATCCTAGTGCTAGTACTCTGGATTTTACAACAAACATAGTACTGATTGCTTACCTGAGTATAGGAGCCATGCCTCAATCTAGTGGTTTTGGTAAGTATCCCGAATTTATAGTCGTTATTCCTCTTTCTCCATTCGAAAACCGGGCTAGATAGGGCGATGGAATAGGAGACAGAGGTTAATGAGAAATCACTTGGCGAATCATTCGCTCAGTCCATTTAGTTCATTAAAATGATGAAATTTATTCGGGTAACAGCATAGCACGAAATGAACCAGAATGAACCAGAGCGCAAACAACGTTTAGCGACTGAGAAACAAAAGCTCGCTACTTAAAAAGCATGAGTAGCACGCACAAATATGAAAAGTACACCTAAGTCGCGGGTCCCTCAGGGAGCAGCTCAACATTAGGTTGCGTGCACCTACCCTGGTGTGGACTGAGTGATTCCGTCTACGTTCTATTGGACAAGTAAGCGATCATCGACCCCCAGCTGGCGAAACACTGTCTAGAAATATGGCTTCACAACTATTTTATGACTCTTGTACGCATACCCTTGATGGCTTTAAATAGAGACTAGATGGTTGTAGAGTGTCTCGTCTTTTCCGTCTACAAACTGTCCACTTCATATGATTAATATTTGCGGGAAATCGAGAACTAGCTTATTATTTAGAAAAAATTACCCATGAAGAACTACGGAACCGACGTACTTAGTGATATAATCAAGCTGTGTTTTGAAAAGTTTCCACCTGTTACATTAAGTGAACTAAATGTGGTATGACGTAAACAATGCGTTGACATATTTCCTGCAATTGAATTTACTGGTAGGTTCAGTATAACGGTTCAAACTGCTGCTGAGTGAAAGGACCTTTTACTGGGAGTTGATTTTTCAAGGGTGATTCTGCTCACCATCAATTTATTACTCACTCCTCTGTGTTAGAATCAGCACCAATTCGCGAATAAATCCTGTGTCATATTTGAAAATAGATACTGAGTCAACCCAGTATTTTATGATGTGCACCCAAGTTTACACGTTGCTGCCAGGCCACACTGGGAGCAGAAAAACCACCCAAGCTTCACTTATCATGACAGATAAAAATCTTTTGAAAGCACATACAATCTCCAACTCGAAAGACCGGCGATCTCAGTTCTTTTTGAAGATATCAAACTGAGGAATCATCTCTGAAAAAAGTGACAGTTTGCTATCTAGTAACATCCTAGTTTTCACTCAAATGTGAGACGATCACACTACCAAAGTAGTCGAACACGTGTAAAATGCACGAAAGTGCTTCCCTAAACAACGAAATACCTAGCTCAAGAACAATCCACGAACAACTATAACTGTCTACCCTGTTGTTATAAATCTTCCAGAAGAGACAGCTTTGTCTGGCTCGAATAGATGGCGACTACATGCTTGACTTATGAGTGCAATGGAGGTGAGGAAAATTTAAGTTTTTTTAAAGGTGGGAATTTACTGGTTCATCCTCGTTTAGATATGGCTGCTAATACGATGACGCTCAGTAGTGTTTTCCTCAGGGCACATTCACAGAATCAGCCTAATTTCGGGGAGGCAGTTCCAACACCTATCAGGTAATCGAGAGGTCTGTAGTTGTACTATTGGTTGCATTCAATGCACCTTGGCTCGTCAATCCTAGATCTATGTACAAAGTAACGGCTAAGGGTGAACAAAGCATCAAAATTTTGGTTTTCTATGGTCATCACCTGGTGTTCTTCGAAATCTCTACTCACTTGGATTTTTTTCCAATCATTTATAGAACACTTAACCATGGAATTGATCAAGGTGTACAAAACTGAGCACATGCCCGTATGATACCTGTAATTTACACTGACTTGAGATGATGTGGCTGTAAAATGTTGTCTGCAAGACAAACTTCGGGCACCGCGCTTTTCTACACAGTTTATATATGAGGAATGGCTGGCCGATACATCGTATGCGTAATTTCTCGAAGTGAGTAGATAGGACTAACAATAATGACATACAATAGAAAAGTTTAAATGGTTCTGTCACCCACAGGATGGATACGATAAATATTTTGAACGGTTCTATGTGATGCTCGCCAAACCGGGCCACAGTTTTGTGCCATTCTTCGCTTACATCGTTCCTGAATCCGGTGGGTGGAATTCAGTCAGGCTCTTCATGAAGGTCAAAAATGATATCTCATCACCTTTCATCGAAGCACAATTTCGAATGGAACTATCTTTACACTCAATCCACAGGCTTGAAGGACGATTAACCTGGTTTGGTATTACTGAACCGACATTTCATCTGCGCCATTGCTTCGCAAAATACATGCAGCGGCACCCTCCGGCTGGCACTGCGTGAACATATGCCAAGAGTAAGTCTAACCCTCCACTGGTGAATTTCTATAGTCACTTTATTTAGATACCGAAAAATACGCGTATTATATAGGTCATGACCTAATTATGTTAAGACGATGCCAGCCAGAGTTCATGGTTCAATGAAATGCTCATATAATATAGTAGCATCTTAGTATATCAACATTTTCACTAGGAAAAAGTTCGTTCTCAAGAGGGTCCAAATTTGATTTGCTGTTGGCCTTCCATAGTTCACGAAACTAGTATGGAATGGTTTTTCGTGATTTGTAGCAGAATTCACTGCTGATTCTAGGGAAGTTGCCCTCATAAACTCATAAAGGACTACCTAACGCAAAATTATCAGCCAGCTTTTTGTTAAGCATGAGAATAAAACCCAAAGTAAGCAGTATCGGCATTTCTCAAGAGCAAAAATCACTGACATCGGATAAACTCTGTCGTGTTACTTCAGGTTACGAATAGCTTTATGCGCCAAAATTAAATTTTTTGTCTGACAAAATTACAGCCACGTTTGCCTCATTAAAACCGAAAGTGGGCAATGCAGTTACATAAGTGAGACTACTCCACAAGGGATTCATCAGAGTAACTCCTTCAGCAAAAGCCAAACTAGATTAATAAGAACAGCGATCTGACAGACTTCATAATCAAAGGCGCATCTAGCTTGAAAACTGTAGAAACGACGTTCTCTTAGAAATATGAAGAGAATCCTGAGAGCCTGAAACCCTGGTTCTCAGACTTTTCAGTTCATCACCCGTCGCACGTATCTACACAGAGAGTTCTTCCATTCACGTCAACCAAAACAAAATGACAGTAAATTTGCAACAGTGAAAAACAAAAACATATTATACTTATTATAACTCTTCTGTCTAAAACGAGACCTCTTTGAATGGGGCACCTTATTTCAGCATAGATAAAAGTGTTAATTGCCAGGCGCAGCTGAGTGCACACCGAAGTTGGAAAACAGGACACCACCCAGTAAAAGAGAACTCAGCCATGACAGCTGTATTTAAGTTCATATCACTCGCTTTTTAACACTCATCCCTTCCTGGCACAGCCATCCAAGAGAGAGTGACATGAACGTGAATTCTACCGACCCCGCAACCACCTACGACTGAGCAGAAATTATCGGGCAGGTTTAAATCGCACGTGGCGCCACTTGGCTGAGAAGTTCAAACAAGCGGGTCTGTCGATCGACACAATCGGGAGAGGCACTGGATCTTCGTTGAACAAACCAGTCACTTCGCTCAGGTGTAAATAAGTTCTTCTGCCCAAATCTGATAGTTTTCAGGTGCTTTTACGCTGCGCTAATTGAGTAGAGAAACCCGCACGACTCGCATGTCATAGGACCGGAGTTCCATCGCCGGCAAGGCCAAGGATATGCACTGATGATGAGCTTTAGTAAGAGCGGAACTCAAATTCAGTGCCTCCGCCCTTTAGTATGGACTCACCAAAATAGTTACGCGAAGACAGAAGGACGAGTGTTCAAACGAGAGTGATGGGAACTTGAATTATACCACTCCCGCCACCACATGCAACCAATGTCATTGGTTGGTTTATTGAACTGAAACATGCGTGAGTTTACGTTGTACTGTGAACAGTTGACGACTGGTCGATGGGTGAATGGGGAAAGACTGCTGCATAAGTGCAAAAACCACTTGATTGATGTCCATCCTTAGTCAGAAAGATACTTTCTCACTATGCTAAAAAATTTCAGCCGTTGTCGATTAGTTTCTGCAAACACTTACTCGCATCAAGCCCTATCGGGAGAGAGCGAACTAAGTCTGTTTAAAAAGAATGCTGAGAATCGCCAAAAGAGTTAATCCAAACAAAACGCTCTCTATCAAACGAGAACTTGTTCGGTTGCATTTAATGGGCTGTTTTTATCCATAACGCTCCAGAAATATGATCCACAGATCCATAGATTTACGAGAAGATGCATGTGCTCGATGTCTTGAACAATGGTCAGCTGACATCCGATTCCCGAACCTGCATGTCAAGTCGAAGTGCGCCGATGGGCAGATAGGAGATAGTTCCACATGCTGCTTGTTTTTATCCGCTTATGATACCAACTAAGAGCTATCTATCCGATGTCAACCCTGGGCAATAAAACCAGAGGTTGAACAGGGAATCTAAATGATGACCCACAGTTATGCAACGAGTTGTGGACAACTAAATAGTGTACGCCCAGGGCGGCCTGCTGGCCCGAACCATCTATAAGACGTACCCAAGGTAGACACATGGCTAGCTAGTGCTGGTTTGTTGTCGGTTTAAACCAGACAGCAGTGATTAAGGATAGTCATGTCTAGTACCACTGTAGACATGACATTTCGGAATAACAAGCGTGGTAATGGGAGTCATTTACAAGTACGTACATCAAATGCACATACAACACAACATCAAAGTGGGCAAACCACCGGATAATATTTTTCCACCTTCCGCTGAACACGATAGTGAGAGTAGCCACAACCTTTCGACTTTACTATCCTACTTTATCGGAATGTACAACCGTGAGCTTTTTGGTCAAAGATTATCAGCCCGGTAGACATGATGATGGGAGAAAATAAACTGTTTCCTCGTAGACTTGGCAAATTTCCAGATGCGTATAAACGAAAACCCACCATCACTTGTTACATCTTGACTATTTTAAACGAGTGTAACGCGGTCCAGCAGGCGATGTAGTGCTCATGGAAAAACCTGTAAAACACTTGTACAGTGGCCGTTTGTTTTTGCGCTTAAGTAGGGCGCTGCAAATACGAGGCCTTTTCCACTGGATTGTTAAGCGTTTTCTTCGAATAGGGAATACACAAATAAAATTTAACTTATAATACCATTTCCTTTGAAACGCTTTTCGGCAGGGTCCTTTTACAAGGGCAGATGCAGTTTTTGCAGTGTATTAAAAGGATTTTTTCTGCAATTCCATGGTTCGAAGTACCATTCGGGGTGATACATTTTACTTCAGAAAGAGTAGTGGGACGGGTATCCCGATGGATCTGAAATGCTTGTGTCGGTAAGCCCGTATCGTTTACACCTCATTACCTTTTCCCGTCCAAATTCGATCTACATTCGTTTGCATAACCCTCTTGCCAAAAGCTGGTCTAACTGATAAGGTCCAACATTCGTCAATACGTCCCACTAGGAGCAAAGGATAAGATTTATAACCATAAGCCTATTAGTGAGCTTTTTACTGGAAACGATGCTCGGATGGCTTAGAAAGAAATTACGGTCAACCCTTTCTGAAAACACTTCCCATCTTTAAGGCCAAAGACAAATTTTTTAAGAGGACTCCCTCAAAGTGTTTCATGCCAAGGGAAGAGAATCCTAAAAAAGATATGAGGTTCACAAAATATGATCCGATATTTGATTTTTCGACAACTTAAGAATGACGCATTTTTGCACTTCAAAAATTTAAGTTTAAAGACATCTCCCAAGATCGCTATACCCATCTAATTTTGTAATTTCAAGTAAGTCCTGACACGGTACTAGGAAGAAGTGTTCAAAATATTGACGTTATACTCACTGAATAAATGATACGAAAACAGGCATACCATCTACGCACAAAGGATAATTTTTGGATCCACTTTTTCGGGGACCCGCTTTCAGAACACAACACTGTGCACATAAGATCCAACGCCTCTGATTAGTTTTTAAATGGGTTACTACCTATTTAACACTCATTCAAACTTGATTAATCCGACTGACTCACTTCTCATATTTGAAGGAGATATCGCGAATTTCGCTCCCAAGCTGATTGGGGTCGCGCCGTTTGAATGAGTAACATTGTTCAGCTTCCTCCCGTGCCTCACGTGCTAAACTATTGGACCATTTCTGAAACAGAACACTATGCATGAGTGGTTTTTTAACGTGAGATATTGGTAACCTTTAAAATCTAAGCCTTCTCTATCCATACTCTGACATCCAGGAAACCCATCGTATTGGTGATCAGCTTGAACCGTTAGGCGAAAATTACTACATATGAATGAACTTTTTTGCTTTCCTTGAATTGTTATCGAAAACCTTCGTCATTCTATAATGACTTACTAATGGTTGCATTTCTTCTGCCTGCGGTTGTCCTTCAAGTCGTCCTTCTAACACCATTTTTCTGAGATCATTTATTGCATCGAGTATTTCTTGGTATCGTTCATCCGGAGGTTCATCTTCTTTTAATGCCCATCCCAGATATACGATGGTACATAGGAGTAGAAATAGGTGATTCTTCATTGCTGTACGCTGCACAGGCCAGTAGTGGAGCAATTTATACGGCGTGCGCATTCGATCTGTGTCATAATCTGATTGATTGTATTATAGTTTGGAGGCAAAAAAGCACAACCTAATTAACAGAAATACGCCTTGCGAATCCACCTGTGTAGGTGAATGAAAAGGAGGGCTAATGAAGATTTTCGTGATAGTCTTTTTTTAAAATAAGGTTTTGCTATTGGCGGAAATTCATTTCAAATTGCCATAGACTGATGGCTGCTCGTTTGAGTGCGTTATCCAACTACGTCAGCTGATACTTTCAGACATTTTTACAACATCACCATCGAGAATAAATGATCCTCCGAAACAGGTGCGATATTGGGGCAAGCATTTTTGGAGCACAGCAAAAGCAAACCCGGAACAGTACAGAGAAGGATTTTGGAATTTCCGAAACGTTTTCTAAACTTCCAGATTTAAATGTCGTATTGATTTGGCATTTTCCATTTATCTGTTGATTCTGATATCACGAGCATGGCATCTCATTTAATCGGAACGGGCCTCATTATGCACAACTCATGGCTCTTTCAAAACTACCTGGTCAAAACTATCTAGCAATCAGTGGAAAACTAACTATGTGTACGATACTAATCTACTGATTAATATACCGTCAGCCAGATTAAAAGCAGTTTTAATCTCACAGGAAAGCTTTTTGGACCCAGCAGATGTCAAACCGTTTATTCCAATGCACCATGCAGTCTGTATGGGTAACTGAAATAACCAAGGCCATTTTATGACTTTTTGCCAAGCGCCCTACACCAACAAAGAACGAGGAAAGACGGAAATGAAATCGAAGAAAATGATGAGCATGTGCTTCTCAGGAGCGTTCAATCCCTCGTTCTAGGTGTATGATTTCGTTGGCACTCCGTATTCCATTGTTTAGTGTACATTTCAGCCAGTTAGTCAGCTAGTCGATCAACATTAGAGACGCATAAGTACATTTAACAGTTATCCTGATCCAGACGCTTCCGACGCTCATCAGAATAGTTCTGGCTCATGAACAAAACAGATATATGGTGTCCGAATTAAGGGTCCAGTTGGCATTCACTAATCAGTAGCAACTCATGGGATTGTTTTGTTGAAATCTGTTGTTCGCCGATACAACAACGGGAATGGATACCGAAAAGCAGTGGGAAAATGTCAACTAAACTATGTTGGTAGATTAAAATCTGCCCCAATCGATCCTCGGTTGCTGAAGGTTTGGCCCAGGTTTTGTCTAGCTGTTTCTGATTGACTAATACACTCATCTGCATTCCTCTCTGGCTTTCATGGGAGACTCACCTAGAACCCAGCTGAAACTCTTGTTTATGATGCCATTCTGTAGCTGAGTGTCATGCACCAGTCGCCTCATATTTGAGTTGGCATGATTTCCGAAATATCACAATACATTGTGTCGACGTAATACACTAATCACAAGTTTTCTGGAAACTCCTCGACAGCCCATGACCAGGTGAGCCTTATGTGAAAAACAAATTGGTACGTAGGTGTGTGTATCAATCGAATTTTGTGTAATTTGGGTCCAAGCAGAAAATAAGGTTTGGAAAAACTCGGGAGCCCATCTGATGGGTATCAAGAGGGAAAAACTGGTCACAATCGACTTCTTTTCACGCCACGTGCTTACAATATGAAATTATCGCCTTAGCCACTATGTTTAGTTTGTCCTCCTAACATAAGATTCTCATTTTTTTTAGGACCTTAGTTCTGCTCTCCTATAATATCGGCGAGCTACCGAACTGAGTTTCATTGATCTAGATCGACGGTAGTATCAGATTATGCACGGTGTGACACAATTAGACAGAAGCTAAACAAGTTGCCAAGAGGATTCTTACCGAGTTGTTAACATCATATGTTGTTATCGCTATAATAATTGGTAAATTTTCTTCAACTGTTCGTCTGCGATTGAAATTTCAACCTACTTTAAAATAGTACGAAGTTTACTCAGTGGCAATACTCTCAGCTGGTGCATCTAATGACCGGCATGACAGTTAGAATAGCGCGGTGATGATGACTCATCTGTCCACACGAACGAATGCTGCAACTCCGAATGATTCCCAACAATCGACGTGTATGAATCTAGTAAATCCATAAAAGCCCACTGAAAGCCCCCACATTTCGTGAATTTTCGCTTCCCAGTGCAGCAGGCAAGGATCCCCGTTGGCCTTGGTTCGCAATCAGGCCAGAACATAGTTTTTCACGTACCTCAAGTAAATTGTTGACTGGGTCTGATTATTTATCTTGCCAATAAAGTATATCACCTCAAATGAATTCACCTTCACCACCTAATCTGTTACCCAACACCTAATCTATTAACCAATATTGCCATCATCCATTTGGATCTCCTGCCGACTCGTTCACCGAACTTGACGTTTAGTCTACAAATGTTTCGTCATCAAACGATGAGCCATCATCAGCAGGTGTAGAACAGATCGACAGACAACTTATCAACAAAATAGAAACACACATAAGCTACCAATATTTCGAGATATTGCTTTCGGCTATGTCATTATGAAAAAAATTGAATATCGTTAACTCCCTTCACATCAAACCTGCTTTTGAGTAAATATATATTCTAACCAACCAGTTAGTATTTGTGAAAAGTGAACCAACCACGATTTTCTATCCAAGGAATCCCGTATTTACGGTACAAGTAAGTTTTTGGAAACCCATTTCAACTGAATGTCTCACTAATAAAATGTAGGGGTGACGAAGTCAACTTCAAGCTAGCTGACTCGACTGTGTGAAGATTCGTGTTACGCGGCCCATGATTGGGGAGTAGTTTTTAGTCACCGGGCAGTATAGTAACGGGCTACTGATTAAAAAAAAAGCCTTTTTTAAAGTGTTTGCCGTCGATTGAGCACTGACACCATTTACCATGGATGAAGTCACAGGAAACCCCCTCCAGTCGTGCCGCAAAAACAAGGCTAGTTTATGTTGTCATGGTAGAGTCCTCTTCTTTTTTTTCAATGAGACCTAAACACGTCTCCTATACAGAAGCACGAAGCTTTTAAATGGGCTTGTACCTACGCTGATCCCTTACATGGGGACCACTCGTGGGATCCGTTCACGGTTGCATGGTCGGGGTAGGAAGTCCTCATTTGATGGAATCAAACGAATCCCTAGTGGCGCCAAGTCAATAATACATTTTTTAAAAGGCCTGACATCTGGAAGATGTTTGGGACCGATTGGTTAGTCAGAGAGGTTTGGCAATCGGTGGATTTATTGAAGGGTCACGTTTTGCTCTTGAAGCTTCATTAGACCATTCGAGTAAGTGTCAGGTTGATCGGGTTTTAAGACAGTCAGGGAAATAATTAGTGGGATTTCTTATGACTAGCCGGCTTGATCAGTGCTGGGTGTCGGTCTGAAGATCCTGTTTGTTGGTCAGTGGGGATGACTCATATTTACGGTAAATTGGTTGGGAGCATTGTCTTTATATTGAAGTCGGATTTCGCAGTCTTGATTTTCTGGTCTCTGACTGACAAAGCTTTCGCGTCAAAAGTGAAACGTTGCCCAGCGTTAAATCCACCGATTCTTTACCAAACCTCTCTGAGGGTTGATACCTGTTTAATCTTTGTAAGCTTTCTCTCTCGCTGATACCACTGGGAGTAGAATTTTGCACAAGTTTCATTGGAATGTTGCCCCGGAGTGATTGTCCATGGAATCGCAGTATTTAAAGCAGGTATCGCTTGGCATTTTCTGTGGCCTTAAGGGCAGACTGATGCCACTTGTCATTCAGTGACCCATGTAATTTTGAGTAGGTAAGTTAGTTATTCTAGGCTTCAGCACTATGCATGGAACAATATTTGCATTAAAATGGAAAACAAAGGTCACCTGGTGAACCAAAGTTTGCACATCAATCGACTCTCATGCCATTGTTTTCGTAAGCAGTTCAATAACAAAACAGCTGACTTTTTCCTTGCGCCTACCTATGCCAAGGTTATTCATATTCGGTCGTCGAAATTGAAAGAAATTGGTATAAATTCCAGACAGTTTTACGTCTTTTCATGCTTGAGTATGCGGAATAATTAGTGTGGATTTATCTTAAACAAGAACCTAGTAGTCTGAAACTGGTGTTCGTGCCGAGCATTACTGAATACAATTTTTCTGCCATACATTTTATAGAGTAATTAAAACTGTATCGCACCATATGGTTTGGGGGACATCAGGGAACGGCAGAGTTCATTGTGCGGCTGCCGGAAAGTTGCGACAGACATATTCATGCTTCAGGAAACAGTATCACTACTCTTAAACTGTCGACCGTTAACAGCTTCAGATAAGTTGAATGGTGCCGCGGAATGTCTCTTGAGCCGAACTGAACATCTATTTCGCCTTTGACGGACAACTTTTGTCCAATGACTAAGCTAAGTTACCACCATACAAATGGGCTCTCGCTGATGGCTGGGCCCCTAGCATTGACAAGAAAACCTAAACTGTCCTCCTTTGGTCTGACGCTTCAAGGTGGAGCCAACGACTTGTTGCATTAAGTAAAAGCTTACCCCTATGTAGTGAAATTCAGTTGTCAGGTTCATTGGACAATATCAAAATTGTGCAGAAAAGGTTATCAGTAAAGTTAAACTCGATTTCGAAGCATCCTGTTTCTTTCAAATCTGAATGAAAATGAATTGTCGTACCTAGTGGTCGTTGGCTTGTTCGCTGAGCTGGGCAATTTGGTTGCGAACGTTTCATCACCAGTCGAGGTGACATCATCAGTGCGTTACTGTGGAACGTAGTAGTGCGTAGCGGTGGGTTGGCGGGAAAAATTAGCAAGCAAATGTGGGAAGACCACTGTCATTTGTGTGCATAGGCCCACAAATCCAATAAGAGCAGGGGTCCAAAAAATAGCCGATTAAACAGTGAAGGGAACTCAGTGCCATTATTCAAATAGTTTCCGCAACATTATGAGTAGATTGTTACGTCTGGCTAAAGCTGTCCTCTTAAAGTTTCATGCGAGGAACAAAGTAGACTAAAGTAATTGGATTTAGCAAGGTGGTGAGTACTAGAATGCTTTTAGTAATTCAGATCAAATTGTTTTGGAGTACACTGGAGCCATGTCCGTTTCGCATTTTTTTAAGGAACGTTTACGTCAAATTCTTCAGTAATGTACACACAAATTAAAAACAAGTCTTAAATAAGCGTGACTTTTCTGACACATGTCTAAAAAATCAGCTTATCTTGTCGAAGTTACCAAGGGTTGCTATGAGAGTTCTAGAGGTTTGTACTTAGACAGCAAGCGGTAAAGAACGCGACAGGCTAGCATCAAAACCCGTAAGTAAAGGAATTATGTTTAAAAATAATGCAGCTATGCTGTGAGGAACGATTGTGAATACATAGAGAAATATATCCGATGAGAGTTTTCCTCCGTCGTGCTAAAAAAGGACAGCACAAATAGAAGAAACAAGGTCACCAGGATTCCAGGAACCAGATTTTTGGGACTAACCAGAAGTTGATTAAACGTATGAGATAAATGAAAACTCCCTGTAGTTTAGCTGCATCTCCAATAAACGAGTCATTTCACCTTGTGTGCTTTTTGCATGGGATAAGTCACGCGATGGATTTCCAGGTGTATATTCGTACGGACAAACACATATCAGCAAGTATAAAATGATTCCTTTTATTCATTCGAATATCTCTTTTGAATACTTAAATATCTCTCCATATGACCCAGATGCTCTGCTCTCTGCTGCTTGTGCTAATCGTACCTATTGTCCTCGAATGTTCGCGACAGAATAAAGCTAATAATTATGGCCTTGGACCAATCAGCAACCTCTCAATGTTGGAAAAACACAACTTAGTTCGGCGTATGATTGCACAAGGGGAAATCAAAGGCCAGCCTCAAGCAGAGTCTATGCCTGAACTGGTAAGTAAGAGTATATAAAGTAGGCAATGTAGTTAGTTCGCATTTTGTTTCAATAGGTCCGAACCGCAAACTTTCTAATGGTTCAAGACAAAGCAATAGATGATTTAGACTTGGAAATAGAATGTATAAGTTGTCCGTTTGATCTACCTTATGAAGCGAAACTATTCTGCATTCGTTTGGTTGTGTACACCGTTTCAATATCAAAATGAATGAACTTCAGCTGTGCAGGTTTCATTTGCATTCAGATAATCCCCTTTAACTTTTGAGCGTGTAGAAGCATACAGATAGCTCCAGTTAATGTACGCACTTCAAGCACGTTCTCAGATATCCGATCGTTTATTCCACTGTTGTGCAATCTTTCGCATATTTTGTGACCACCCCGATATATGTCATCAGCTTCTGTGGAACCACTGCCAGGTCTCTTATACTGAAAGATCCAGTCCGTGCAAAATTTGCAGTGAGCTCTATCGTCCAGATGAAAACCCACGTGTCCGGTTCGAATTTCAAGAACTTAATACTACTGTTTTCCGCACAGATCAGAAAATATGGAGACATTCTATCGTCTCAAGCCAAAGCATTTTTCCATTGCAAGCATCTTTGCATATTGTGACTCAAGATGGATTGGCGACACACTTATGAAACTTTTAGTTCAGCTTGTATTTATTCTGTAGTCTAGTTACACACAGCCTACCAAATTGACATCTCATCAGAACAACCTTTTGCCACCTTATTGACCAGGCAGTTGAACTGCAAAACTACCACGATTTTACAAAACATTCTCATCCTTCTAGCCTGAACAGTGTTTTCGTGACTATCCTTCACAGAAACTCAGCCGTTTGGCGTAAGTCTGACGACAACTTTGGGATACTGTGGGTTCCCAAATATCTATTGTTCTTATTTACTGAAGACAGGGACCTAATATTGTTGTGACGATTGTAAACAGAAGTTCTGTCCACGTCTTTATATAACTCCAAGGTAGCATCTACAATTCAAGCAAAAAATTGATAACCTGCAAGCATCTATTCCCTTTTAGATAATAGCCATGTTATGGGTGACTGACTTCGTCTCAAAGATTTTTCGTAATGCCATGCATTATTTTTGCATGAATTCACTTGTGTACACAACGTACACACGCAAAACTTATTGGAAATGACTGTTAGAGTTACTCTCCGTACCCCTATTAGGGACGGCATATAACTCCACTAGCAGTCACAGTTCGCTGAGCGCATAATAACATATTATTGCTGCACGAGACTGAAAGAAAAAATCTTCAGTAAAGTTTCACAAACATCATGACCGGTGAAGAAGTACTCACAGACGACGCGTTGTGCTGACTGGTTGCAAAGTTTGATGAAAGCCAATTGTTAAACACAAACTTTTGATTCCTTCTGTACTACAGAATGCATTCTTGAAACCGTTCTAAAGAAAGGGAGTCCTAAAAGTTAAGAGTCGGCTCAAGATAAAAACAAGAATTGGCGGAAAGTGTAACTACTAAAGCCTACTAGGACCCGGAGACGAATGGGCCAATTTGCCATCAAACATTTCCGATTTTGAGGCCACACAAAAGTCTGGCGAGTAGTGTTGATTTTCACATTGAACTTATTGCTTAGTGAGGCCCTTATTGGTAGCAATAGGGCCTGTCGGCTGAGTGGGTTCAACTCAGGAGCTAAGTCTGATTCACAATGTGACCGACAGACAATGAATCAGAAGTGGCATCACCCAAACTTCCAGTATCTTATCACACTACGCTCCAGAGACTCAAAAATGGCCGTTAACTCATCGGTTTTAAGAACCTGAAATTCCCCTCATTATTCCGACCAACGATGGTTACTGTCTCGTATTGGTCAAAACAATAAAATACAGATCTCTACTGCTGCAGATGGACCTTCGCCGAAAGCTACTCCGTGTGGAGTAGCGAACAACAAATTTTAGTCTGATTCGAATGTCATATCTTTCCCAAAACAAAACCGTTGAGGTTGCATGATATTCGAAATCTTGTTGATCACGTCCAAATTTCACAGGCAACTCCAGATTCATCTGAACTTGCGAGCATGTCCATGCATTACCTTTCTGGAAGTCATACACAGTGGCTTCCATCTGAGGATTAAATGAGCCAATCTATATTCGAAATAGATTCATTTCCAAATTACTGTTGCTTTAGCTTAGGATCCGACTTCATCTCAGCTAGTTTGCTAGTCGGTAATATTTTGCAACTGGATTTGCTTTATAAAGGACCCTTGCGCTTCAGCTGACATCGTATTTGATATACCGACAAAACATTACTAATAACGTTGCTAAAAACTCTTCGGCAGCCCACAATTGGTTTTTCTCTTCTTAAGGCTCATCAGGTAGGCGCAGTCCCTTAGTTTGTAAACTTATGTCCTATTTGAAACCAAGTTGTCATCGGTTTTTCCACCGCACTCATTCACAGTTGAGATGCGGCTAATCCTCCCGGTGCAACCGAAACAGTTCTCAAATAACTGTATTTTCGAAGTTGTATCTTATCTGGGTTCCAGTGGAGCGTTAGGTGGACGAAAACTTGGGAACTGCGCCCAAATGATCAGTTTCAAGAAGGGCGAAGCTGTTTGTTGGCTGTCGGAAGATTTCAGCAAACTTCAGGAGCTAATCTTTGCTTCATTAGACTTTGGACCGTTTGTGGTGTTCCATCCGTGAACCAGGCCTCCCCAGTAGCCTCTCGGTTTTTGCAAAGTCGTTTTCTATTAAATGGTGTAGGTGGTGCCAGGTCAGCCAATAATCTAAAGCATCGTTTTCAAGCCTCTTTTGATCACACTCTCCGGAATCACTGGCAATGTAATGGCCTGTTTCAGTAGCTAAAGTTTCATTTTTCGCATAGGTCATATTAAATTCCCATCATTCTAAATGGTGATAATCAGCTTGCGCTCTAAGCGACCGCGAGCTTTTCCCTGGTGGCCAAAAAACATCAGATACCAATATCCATTTACGCCAAAGCAGCACCCGGAAGTGATGACACCCAAAGTATCCAATTCTGCTACCGGACAACACACTTTAACTTCATTCAGTTGATCGCATCTTCGTCCGATGCATCAATGGCGTTTAAAGTACCCGACTATAATCAAGAACTTACCTGTGACTAAGTTCTGCGTTGCGTATTCGAAAGCACAACGTCTCACGTACATCCCTGCAGGTCTATCCGTGAAAATCAGTAGCTAAAATCATCGGAATATTTGCAAATGCTGAATGAACTAAAGGCTACTGGGCCCAGTTATTATCTTCCGAGGTACCATAGTCCAGCCTTTGGAAGCCTACGGTCAGAGGGATTAAAATCTACCCCAACATCCCGAACATACTTCACATATTGTCTACCAAACCTTAATATCACACCAAGTTGATCTTTCTCTTAAATTTTTGTGGCAACTTTGATGGTCCTGTTATCGGCTTTATGCACTACCTTACTACTAACCGACTTGAAATTACAATGGGACCCGCATTGTAACAATACGAAGCATCCCGGATTCCGACCGAACTCGAGTCATAGTGTGGTCGAATTTCTTGTGTGATTGCTTTTATTACTAACTCCGGCAGTATCGTTCTCAGACGGACCACAAAATAATGCACTTTGGCGGATGAATTCAACTTTTGGGTCTTCAAAGCCCTCTCAATGGGCATCAGAATGGAAAAGATAACCGACCTGAGTTCAAAAGGATAGTTTTAACAGAAGAACAAAATAATAACAAGCGTTCTAGTGAGACGAACCACGGTCTTGAGTCCGAAAAAATGGATTTGTAGTTTGAAGGTAAACCCATGTGCAGACTACCTCTTCTTTCATTGTATTCACCCAGTTATGGTATGTTCGTCCAGTTCCTTGTAGCATTTACATCAGGCCTAGAGCTTCTGAAACCCACTAGTTATATTTTTAAGCTGTTCAAAACACTTGCGAATTTGCATGCCTTGTAAGACGGTTTTGATTGTTATCCTAATGGGAGCGATGCGGCGAACCTGAATTCTACAACCGATCACCCAGGGACTTGCAATCACTCTATGGATAGTACCCAGACAATTTATCGGTTATTTTCGCTTGTCTATTCTACCATCACGCTACTAGAGAGCCCAATGATCAGACCAGAAACTGACGTTACCTACGTCTTTGCAAGACATCAAGCTCAAATTGGGAAGGGAAGGGCAGTTCTGGGATACTGTTTGCTAAAGCCACACATCTGCTTCCATAGAAAGTCCCTACGCAGATTTAAACATTGTACCATAACCCTATCCATGCTAAACTTTTTAGATTGATAGAATAACTTGAGGTTCTGGTTGTTCAGTTGGTATTGGTAAACCCCCGATGTGTGTATAAAAAATTAGTGACGAGACTACTATGGGACTATTTTGATAATCTGATAACACCTATGGGTATAAATTACTTTTTTTGGTTTCAATATCGAGTCTGAAGATCAGTTACTCAAGTAGTATAGTTAATACCTCATCTTGGTATACTTCGTAACCCCAAACCGTGTCGTTGTTAAACCCTCCAAAATGTTTCTTGAAAAACACGCAACTGACACCAGTCGTGGCTTCCGATTTGAGTAGCTAGGTTCAGAAAGACAACATTTTTCCACTAGAGTTTGAGTCTGTGCCGGGAAAATATTCAGCTAGAGAATCCACAGAGAACATCCTAGTTTTTACTTGGTACCGGCAGCGTTTTTAGTGCACACATATCCAATGCTCTTCATTCAAGTCCACTTCCAATCAAAACCGATGGTCATGTAAGGTGCGGAAACGGGTGTTTTCATATGTTGCATTCCGAGGCAGACATCTTCAGGCATTCACTTGAGGTGCAATCCTTGTTTCAAAAAGCCGGCTGCTACTAACTGGTCAGCAGACGCGGGACTCTGGTGGTGAAAATTTGGAAGTTTATAGCTGAAGTTTCACACGCCCAATCCATGTGAACCCATAAAAGGAGTTCAGAATAGAAGGAAAGAATCTTCACAAATGGGGCTTCCATGAACGGGTTGTACCTCTGTGGCTAACAATCACTTGTTTCAAAAGTTTCCTAGCAATTTTCGGATTGTCTTTCCCACCGCATTAAATTTGGCTGCATGTCAGTTCCATCAGGGGCTGCAGTAAAATTATCTTTTGCAAATCAAGTAGATGTGAATCATTTTTGGAGAGGCTTAAATGTCCACAGATTCTACAGATTTGAACTTTTATGGCTCTCATAACTGTCCGTTATCGAAGGTATCAAGGTTATCAGACACATGACAAGAGTAGTGTGAAATTTGAATACCTCATTTTAACTGAGGCATGATGTTGAGTGTTGTGTAGCGTACCTGGGGATTTTCACGCGGCTTATCCAAAGTCCCATCAATCAGTCCACTGGTCCAGTAGACTATCCAAACACAAAAACTAATAGATAGCTTCAATGTGTTCAAATCACAATCAGACACGTTACCGTACGCAAAAGCTAGGGAAAACAGAATTTGCAGACAAATGGCTTTGCGTTAAACTTCACCGTACTGTGTGAATCTTAGTCACGGGAATCAGCTCCGGTAAGTCTCTTATTGAATGCCGACCTGAGACAAAGTCGGCCGTTTTGAGTGCACTGCTCGGCCAAACATTTACACTACGCCAATTTCAAAATGTCCTAAAATTTCTTCTCAACAGAGAGGAACCAACTGTATTCACCTATTTAGAAGTGACAATTCAAGTACGCCCCAAGGACGCTTCGCATATCACATTTCTGAGGTTCTGATTCCAGCAGGGCCAATGATATGCAGTACAGATGGACCCTTGTAAAATAGATTCGGACCTAGTTCCTCCACTCGTTGCCGTGGCTTAGTGGGGAGAACTGAGCCAGACAATGAACAGTACTGTTTTAAACAAAATGATATATATACATACACGTATTCAGAGAGCCTAGTATATCTCTTCAGACGAATATACCACATCCACTGAAGATGTTCCTCGTAGAGCCTTTACCATTTTGTCATCGTTTTTATCAAAGGATTTCCCAATTAACCTCACTCAGATATAGTTTTCAAGAGCAACAAGAACTCAGAGGAACCGGACTTTGGATGAGTCACCAGTGACTGAGCAATCAAGGAATGAAAACATAATAATGTAATTTTCTCCACAGCACTGGAGCGTCCGTTTGGAGGAGGAAGCCAAACATTGGGCCTGGCATTGCGTTGATATGAAAGAACCGGATAGTGAATCTGGAGAGACTCGCGGCTATTCAGAAGAAGAAGATTATGAGTATGTTTCTTGTACCTGCTGAAACTAACATTTCCTTATTACTGAAAACATCATGCTAAAAATCACAAAACTCAGTGACTAATAGCAAACATAGCGGCGCATGCTACACATACAATTCATGGTATATATAATTGCACACAAAATGCAACCAATCAAATTATGGTCATCAGATCGTTTGCTTAGTGTAAACTAAGGAAGACAGTATCTAGTTCTTCTGTAAAATGTGCGAAATGAAAGAAGAATCAAGTGGATGAAACCTGATAATAATGACATTGTACTGTACAATACGAAGGTGGTATAGGAACGGTTGGAACGCGTAATATGTTTTCATTCGTGTACGAATTCTGCTTCAAAATTTAAGCATTTTCAGTTCTTATAGTAACGGCAACTTTTGTCATTTCTTCCTGGCCTACACACCAGTTGCCTCCTTCCAGGAAACTTCAAGCAGGAGAAGTCGCCAAACAGGGGACAGAAAAACTTAAAAGACTTTAAGATGCCAAATCAGAAGCAACCGCCAATTTTCTAGTGAAATAGATATGATGTTTCCATCTGGCGATGACCGGCTCGTCTAACAGTGATAAATTTCACCCCTCATTTCACCCCTCACCTCAGAGAATGTGACTGAGTCTCAATAAAATCCACCTATCCACACCTGTCGAGAGTCACATCGCTCGGACTTGAAACTATTGTGCCAATGTAATATTACTATAGCTGATACCTATCCACTTGATTTTCAGCATGTAGGATCACATTCTGAATATATCCGTGAATCATAAATAATCATAGAATGTCGTCCATTTTCCCGGTATTTTTCAGTATATATATATATATCATCTGGGATTGGACTGTTACTAGTTATCCTAGCTCATGGGCGAATTTTAAAGCAAGGTGCACAAAGATAGGCTAGTATGGTTAGCTCCATGCTTGTCGTGGCCAGCTGCTAAACCATGCGGTTAACGAATGATATGCATTGCTTTGGGATGAAGAAAGATGATGTCAGGAGCGGAGCACATGATTGACGGTATAGTTCATGTACTGTGTTTGGGATTTCACGATCAGAGTGACAGGGAGATACAGACTAATACGGCATACTAAAACATACATGCTCACAATGGTGAGCAAATATTATAAACGGGTTGGTGCAAACAAAACAACGCAGTCAGGTCAGACGGTCACTGCTGCCTTAGGCGTTCTCCTCGGGCTATGTTGCCTCCTCAATCCCACTCCTTCTAAACAACGGAGAGACAAATTTCCTAGAACGGATCATTCATACATATACATGCCTTCTGAATGCAATAGGCAGAGCATGGCGCGCAATACCTCAAAGTTGACTCAACTCTATTATATATAAGTGGTTAGTTTGGAGGGAAATAACATCAGCTCAGAAGTGTCCGTACTGTGGGATTGCGCATTCCGTCTTCTACATTGTCTGCAACCATACTAATTTACCAAAACATTCAGATATTTCTATCGCAGACAACGGTAAGATTGGTCTTTCATACACATTTAAAACCAACCAGAGTACAAATTGACTTCTACGGCAGCCTGGTCTAGCAAGCTCCGCCTGTTGTTAATCTTTTAGTATGAATAACACTTCAGCATAGTCTTTGGAGTTTCCGTGGCGTTCGGTCACAGAAAAACCTGCCACACGCTCGTTGGTGCCTTTTCAGAGGATGTACTACACTCCCTCAGATAGATACACTTTTTATCCTGAAATACTATATAGTTGCTCAGTTCCTGAAATCATGACATCCGTACATCTTGTGTCCTTGAAAGTGTCCTAAAATTGAAGGTAGGGTTTCAGTTTATTTTGAAACATCACGCCTACTTTTAAATTCCAGATGTGTAAGTGGTGTGTAGGATAGAAACGTTACCATTTATAAATACCACCTTACGTATATACTCCTAGTTTAAGTGAACAAAAATTTGAAATTACAGTGTGTCGATTCCGATGCCTCCATATCTGTCCCTAAGACCCTATGGTTGCGAGTGATGTACGGTAATTGGCTTAGTGTTAGCTGGAATTTGTGGAATATAGGTTGCTCATGCTTGGTTGTTGATAAGCTCGCGCTGATTGGTTGCTTGTCTGTTCGCCGAGCTCGGCTGTTGGATGGCAAACGTTTCACCACCAATCGAGTTGATAAGAAGCAGTAACTTGTTCGACCCATCTTGAAAAGCCTAAATGATTCAATTAACGAAAATGCATAACGTACTGCTTTACACCGCTTCATTAATGTGCAGTTGGAACAGCCAATTTTACTGGACTGAATGTCAATTATCATATCATCCTGGTACACAAACATTCGTTTGATCATTTTGTGGTAATCTGCAGACGTGGTCGATTAAACTGAATTAGCAACCGTGTGAAAAATATCCGTCGAAACCAACTTTATCTTTTCACCGTTAGTTTCCGCTAAACTAAATTGTGATACCTAGCTAGAAAGTTATGGAATTTCACCAGCGAACCAACACACCGATAGGGCTGACTGTGATGAAATCAGGATACCTTCTGGCAAACCCAGCAATCACTCAGCAACTTACATTGTACACCAGGTTTTTTCAAAGAGACGAAAACATCATCACAAAGCTCAAGAGTTTAGGCGGGAAGAAAACTTTATGCAAATTGCCCATATAATGCTGTCTGTGTGAGATGCATTGCCACGTGTCCATCTCCATTGTGGTTACGTTCAGCAATAAACCAAATTAATCATATTCAGTAATTTACTCCCAGTATCTTTTATCACCACCGCTATTAATGTCATGCTAAATAATGCACGCATCTTCCTGTTCTGAAACTTAGTGATATTCCTCTGGGGGTTGCGGATCCTTATCCATAGCAAAGAGTTGATAGCTTCTTGTCGGTCTGCTGGGGAGCTTGTAGGATGGAACCAAGCAGGTCGTAGTTGGAGGAGTTTCTGCCAAACGGTGCTTGGTATTTTATACAATTACTGTGTATCGTCGAGAGCAGACAGACATCTACTCAGTTTAAAGTGTAGAATTTACGAAGACCTGGTAATCGTGACAGAATAGTGTAGCGTGCCCCTGACATGTATTGGTCTCCCGTTTTCGGTGGGAACAACCGCCTTCTGTAGCGACATTCTTCATTCTTTCAGCTAAATGTTTAGTACCAGGCTGCTCAAAGTGGTAGCACGCTCCGGGACTTTAATTGAGCAGTTTTAATCACGTCTAAAATTTTTATTTAATATCGACGTGATTGAGGCACCGTGATTGAAAGAACCAGAAATCGAAGTTTCAAGTACGCACCCAACAGCAATAACGTACGCGAGTATTTCGTAGCGATCTGACAGAAAACTACTCTGGTTTTGTTAACTCGTTGTACGTGGTACCAGCTGGCAACGTCAAACCATGACTAAACACACCAAATGTTGATTACCAAGAGGACGTTAAATTGTTCTACATGACTTTTAAGTTTAAGGGTATCCTTCTATCTCACTTGCTGTCCAGGTATCAAAATTTTAAGGAGCTTTGTTCACGTTGGTTTCTTCTGTTCTTTGTCATTAAACCGTAACTTTTTATTCCCATTCTTAACTTGTCTCGACAATATGAAAATCTGAGCAAATATAATACATGAACTGAAAGCTCACAAACGTAGATCAAATGCACTGTTCTACTGCAAAACAACTAGACAAGAGGAAATCAACGCTCCGATTGTATGACATTCTCCTACATGAAAAATGATAGAAAATTCTGTTTCCTTGGTTCTTTTACCTGTGTGTTACAGTATATTTGTGGACTGGTTTGGTGAACACAAAAACTACACCTACGGGCTTTTTCCAAAAAGTAGAAAAAGAAGCATTACTCGTTACACCCAAGTAAGTCTCATAAAATCGTGATAAATTCCCCTTCGGTGAATTATTGTAAAGATTTAAATGTCCCAGCTGACTGTGGTCAGGATGAAAGCTAATCTTCTGTTAAACCTGTTAAACGGAATAATTTGCGTGTTGTTACCATTTTAAAAACTGAGGAAACCTTCAGCCTTGAACGTGATTAATCAACTATTTGGCAATGGTAGTGGGTAAGCTTTGGCCAAATTTTGAACTATTCTGAATAGACTAGTTGTATTTGTTAATTTTTCGGTGTTCTGTCAGCCTGTGAGGATAGCTCAAAGATGAAGCCGGAAGGTGTAAAATGAATCCATCCCTTCTGTTTCAAGGGACACCAAAAGGTTGACAAGCCTATCGGTCATTCCAAAATGAGCGTCAGCCTTCATTCATTCCCAAAGGCAGCATGAATTTTGCGCTTGATGGAAGCATGCATCTTTTTCATGACACTCCTATTAAGAATTAACTGCATGGCATAGCGTTTGGTGAGTGAGAAGAACTGTTAGAAAACACTAGAGATTCGACTGAATGAAGTGCAAATAAAATGACTTCTGCTAGGAAAGAGATGAACAAAAAATCATTTCTCGCTGAAGGGTTATTTCTTTATTGTTTGGTCCAAAAACCTCTACTCAACACTAGACCTACTATGAATGAGAGGTCAACCCATGAGGACAACCATCGGCTCAGTTTTGGTATCATTAACTTCTTCTAACACTCGAAGACAAAACTTGTAGATGTATGCTTGTAAAAATAATTGATCCAATGTCGTGGTGTAAGCAACGGAGTGCCAAATACCAACTCGAGTTGCTAATTCACTCTTTCAGCAGTCTGAGAAACCAACCATGAAGTAACACTGGGAGTCTGTCGTTTTTTCAGCTGTAATTGGTCTCATCCTTACGCAGGTCATGCTGATCATACTCCACTTACATAGGCACATCTCAGGTAAACTTATTTCTATCACTAATGGCGATATATCTCTTGTAAGTGATATGAATTTCTGTCCAGACGAGTGGTAGTTTAGTTGGGCAAAACCTTGCACAAACAGCGGTAGGCGACTATCCAGAAAGACACAAAGAGATAATCATGCAGAATCGGGATCTGAATGAAAAGATGGAGACCAGGAGACATATATTTGCGGACAGAAAGTAATAACTAAGTGAGGCACAGGCATACTCGGAACCAAACAAATATTGTGTGGAAGTTCTCTTCAAGAATCTGGGAAATGTTATCTATTGGCTGGCGTAACATTCCAGTGAATCGAACACAAGAAAAAATTAGACTTGGTCGTCCAAGCAAACGACGCCCATCAGATCAAACTCATACGTCACCGTATCTCAACACCAACTGAGCTGCAGGTTTCTGTTTGATTCACGTGCTAAAGAAGTTAGTTATACTCATAGCCGAAAAGTTCTATGGAGAAATACGCCTACAACAAAATGGGACTAGATATATTCGCTTGTCAAATCCGCCCGATGGAACTGCTCTTCGAGGTCATTAGCGCTTCACATATATATTCTGTGTCTAACGACTCTGCTGGGAAGTTGAACACACTAGTAAACAAGCACTGTTGTATCACTCTGTCAGAATTAAGCAACTCCTAGTGTTACTCGGTCTACGCGGCCAACAGCAGGGATGAGCCTATAGTCACAGCAAATAACACAAATACAGGAACTAACGCATAACATGTGACAACACTAAACTTTCTTTTACCCGCCGTCCCACCGTCCGACTGGCTTCCACAGTTTCGAAAGTTCTGAGCAAGTATATACCCATAAGGTTGCTGAAAATCCGTCGCCAGCCCACGACCGGTTTCGACCTTTTGGGGCTCATAGTAAACAAGCACTGTTGTATCACTCTGTCAGAATTAAGCAACTCCTAGTGTTACTCGGTCTACGCGGCCAACAGCAGGGATGAGCCTATAGTCACAGCAAATAACACAAATACAGGAACTAACGCATAACATGTGACAACACTAAACTTTCTTTTACCCGCCGTCCCACCGTCCGACTGGCTTCCACAGTTTCGAAAGTTCTGAGCAAGTATATACCCATAAGGTTGCTGAAAATCCGTCGCCAGCCCACGACCGGTTTCGACCTTTTTGGGGCTCATTAGGTAGGCGCAGTCCCCGGGTTTCTGTCAACCTTATGTTCCACTTGAAACCAAATTGCACGAAATTAGCGGATATACGCTCATTTGCAAACTAATTTGGTTTCTCGAGAGACTCACCTGGAACCCAGCTGAATCTCTCGTTTGTGAATATCTCGCTTGTGTAAACATCACAAACGAGAGATTCAAATGGGTTCCAGGTGAGTCTCTCGAGAAACCAAATTAGTTTGCAAATGAGTGTATATTCTGAGCAAGTAGTTTCAAAGACCAGCCGGACTCCAAACCACTATTCCCTGGTATTTATCAGGTGGGATTTATCCTCTTCATCAGGCAATTCATAACCGCTGCCGCAGCTGTGCTCTTCAGAGTTTGAAAACTAAAACGATGCATAAAAACAGTGAACTCTTCTTGGTCTGAGTGTCGCGGACGACCAGGCAGCAATTAACTAGGCCCTAAAGTTTATCCGAATAAATGTTGCTTTCCTTGTTGCCGGTTCCCTACTTCACTTTTGGCTTCCCGAATATTGCCGAAACACGCTTATTTCTTCGACGAAATAAAACCACTCGTTAATTTTTCAGCAATCTCCCTATCAATATTTGAGGTCAAGGAGATACACTCGATTCTGCATATTTTCAATTCAACAAGTTAAGGACAAAACATTGGATAGACCAGTTGGAAACCAATTTTCCAAAGTTATGTTGGTTTCCGTATGTGGATGACATTGATTAGCTTAGCGGTCAACCATCCGCTGACATTTTCACTGAGACCACACGAGCTAGTTTGTTTGCCTCACTGCACTTTTGACACTGTCTGCTCATCAAAGACTATTATTTCAGTTTGTCTTAGAAACAAATCTGATTGTTACTCAGGTAACATCTTCTTATGGAGTCCGTTTACGTGTTACTAAAAACCAGCACGCGATCAAAAATGATCTGTGGATCATCCACAATTAATTAACCAATATACTGTGCGAGGCGCCCATTGAAGCTGGAAGTAACGCAAGTGTGCTGATATCGGCAAGATTCTGTCTTAAAAATAAGGGCTTCCTGGCCCAAGAGTCGACAATTCTTTGTCATTCTCCTCTTCACTGTTTGTGCAAGCTCATTTAAAGTAACTTCTTCCGTGAGTGGATGCTACTAATGCTAATTCAGATGGACCTTTTCGGAACGGCTAATAATTCATTGTAATCATGCTTTGTAAGTGTTGCCGACGATCTAAATAAACAGCCCGTCTGTTTCTGAATGTAAGGAGACTTCCAATGGGGGAGTAGGTGCAAACGAGCACTTGTGTCCATCTCTTGAGTTCCTCTAAATGGATTAGCATAAAAAACGTTCCGCTGTAACACCTCCAAAATCCCATCTCCCAGGCCACCCGAAGGTAGCACAAGGGCTGGGATACTGCCAGGTTGCCCATGCCTAGACAAGAGAAGTCGAGATGCAGAAGACCTTCCGGTCAGTAATCTGGCGCTTCAAATACTGTGCCAGCCCGATTAGTATTAGTTACGTCCTCAGACAGAATATTCACCGTAAGAGCTTTGCTATTTTCGGAGTGAGAGTTTGATGGTAGTGCACGCACCCCTGTGGACAATAGGGGTGAATATTAGTTCTTTTACGAGCCTACTACACGCAGTTAGTAGGTTCCAAAGAATCCCCTTGTGTCTCTACTATTACTCAGACCCAGACCCTGAGCATATCAAAGAAGTTTGTTTACTGTGTGGTTCACTGCCGCTACAAATAGATAATGCTGCATCATCCCAAAAATTGCCTCCAGTAACTCCAACCTACTGGAGTTACTGGGTTCTCTGAAATTAAGTGAACTGTTTGATTCCTAAAACTTTACATTGTTTGCTGTTTCCCATGGTTAGAAGGGACTTGAAATCAGGGAACTCCGTTTGCTGTTTAATGATCTTTATTATAGCGAGTTGCGTTCTTGATAGGGATCCTTCCCCACTCAACACATACCTCATGTAGCACATTGACTCTAATGTAGCTTTTAAGTGGAAACAAACTGTGTACTATGTACGATTTCCCTTCCAGCTTGTTTGGGCAGAAACGGAGGAAGTTGGTTGTAGCACTTACTTCTGCTACAGTTTCCAAACGGCTGACGGGAGCTATCTGCAAGACGTCGATTATACAGTGTGTAAATATTCGCCAGCGTGAGTGAGCCCCCTATCCATCTGAGGTCCATCTGTAATTAAGAATCTCATTGAAGCAAAAAATTGAAATTAATCAGGATTGACTTTTTATTTATTCGTTCCGTTGATGAACGTCATTTATGTATCATACATATATATATATATATATATATATATATATATATA